GCTTTTTGGCTAGCTGCCCCCAACGCACAATGAGGTGAATTCCTTGCTCAAAGGAATTAACAACTTATAATGGTGAAATTCGCTCCGCGTGATGCGATTGAACTCTCATTCTAATGCAGAGCGATCAACTGCATCACTACCTCATATGATAAGATTAATCAAATAACATTTCAAAACAGCTTAATGATGAATTAGATAGATGTTTACAAAGTAACCTATGTTCAAAGTCAAGATTTGAAGGTTTCGAGCAGCATTTCACACTACCTTAGAGAAGGTAGAGAAATTCGTTCTTGCATTGGTGGTCATACTGAAAGAATAACCTAAAACACCGTTTACTTATGCACAAAGCAGAGGATACTATGATCATTTCAGTGAATGACTACTACAGACGTTACGGTCCGTGTTTCATTAGCCTTCTTCGAGGTAGGTTAGTGATAAAGTCTCTTGAATGTGATTGGTCGTGCGCAGCGGTCGATAGTTTTGAAGCCAGAAAGCCTTCTGGCGACCAACCACATTCACGAAACTTCGCCACCAATCTACAATGAAGAAGGGCCATGAGACACAGGCCGAAATGTCGGTATTGATCAATCACCGTACTGACCACAGTATCCTTTACGTTGCGTATGAGTAAACGGTGTTTTATGCTATTTTTTCCTTAGAGATAAACACAAATCAAACATTCCGGTTTTCAGAGCGGTCTCGCTGCCCTCTTCTCAGAAACCTAGTCCCTCGTTCATATCGTGAAAAAACGGTATCAGCCGAAGCAAAGGGGGGAATTCAAATTACAGAAAAATGTGTTGCAGTTGCATCAATCTTAATCATTGACTAAACAACATTTGAACATCCAAGTTGCTCAGACTGAACATGTCTTACCTAGTTGAAATGGTGTGCCAGATTTGGTAGGATGAAGTGCATTTCAAAGCGAAGCTTGGTGAATGCGTCATTTTAAACTATTGCAGTAGTTTTGAAGGCTGGTCATAAACTGAAATTTCCGCTAACAATTTGATGGTATATACGGAGTCATAGTTTTCAAATAAACCCTTTCAGAAAAATGACACTGATAATTTGATTGAGATTTCGAAGGAAGTATTGATAGCCATATGCCTTGTTTATCCAGTACTAAACATGGTGTCTTTTATCCACTGGTCGGAATATAACACTAACCATTCTTTATTTTTGATGAACTTTTACGCATTGAAGTACTTCGTGGGATCAGAACATTTTCGAACACCAACGGCGACTGGAGGCACTGTGAAACGTAAGAATGGTCCATAAAGACAGTCTCATTCCAAATTCTACCACCAGCCAACCTAACTTTCAATTCGAATGGCTAAGACATGGTTCTCTACTAACTGCCTAAGAATTCAACGTGATAAATATCTATTACACTACATTAATAGAATTTCGAACCTCAGTTAAGTACGAACGCGAAGTACAGAAGAAAACAGCGGGCACATTACTGCCACATGTCTGATTTATGAATTAAATAGCGATACACAATAAATAAAAATATAGAAGGAATGGCCAATTGGATATATGACTTTTGAACTACGCTTCGTATCGTTGTTTGCTTTTACCGCGCAAGTGCCATGTAAAACCTGAAAATGCAAAATTGTGCATGAATATGGGTGTCTATCTACCCAGCGGCTACAGCAATAACTGAAACTGAACTGCACTTGAATCGTAGCCACTGGTATTGCCGATGACATTTTGGCATTGATTTTCGCAAATCATCATTTTCCGTAATTTGAAAACAGATTCTACAGACGAGAGATTCGACAACAACTTTTTACATAGTTTCCATCACCGATAGTCTGTGTTATGGCTTCGCTCATCACCTAACCTAATAGAAAAGTAGCAGCGTGACAGATTGCATCCAATTCATGGTACGTCGCAGCATATCGTCAACTGGATGCTTTATCATAGCATATAGTTGTCAGCAATTGAGAATTTCGAAATATATTAAGAAAACGAACGAACAAAGGAAATGCAGCATCTGGCTACGACCAACGACCAAGTCGTTGCTGCGTTGTTGATTGCCGCAGCAAACCAGCATACGGTGCACTTCACGGCTGTCAGTACGCCTGCTCAATCTTTAAGTCTGGCTATGTTGTTTGTCGACCCTTGCCGTCTGCGTTTCCGGCCGAGGGCGCGGCACCACCTCCAGCGACGCACAGGAGCACAAATCATTCGGGCATCACTCAGAGGCAGCTCTCGGAGCAGACGCGTCCGGCAGTCGAGAACAACAGAAGAACAGTCGCTCTTCACCCAACCAGGGAAGTCGAACTCCCTAGAAAACGCAACACTATCAATTGAAGAGCTATAGACGAACAGGGCAATTGGAAAATCTTTAAATAAAACTGGCTGATGTTCACGAATTTACTTTAATTTCCAGATTAATCGGCGCCTTTAAAGTGTAGAAGGCATGTTTCTAGCCGTTCGAAAAATTCTTCAGAACTCGTCAATTTTGCCATTTCCTTCCAGCAATTTTAGAGAGCAAAGAGGATCGAAAAATTGATTTTAAACATTTTTAACATTAAGCAATAAGCATTGCGTCATGTTAATTGCATCTAGCGCTGGCCATTTTCGCTGATAGAAACTGTCTTAAAAGTTAATACAGTTCACTGATTGAATTCGACCTTATATTGCCACCTAGGAGATGAAAAATGCAATATTCACACTGTTGAGCGCGAATAAAGCTTCATTGATGGGGCGAGAATTGCCAATTAGGTGCAAAGTCGAACTTCAGTTTAATATGATACTTTTCCTGACTTCTTCGTAACTGCTAGGGCTAGTAAAGTTCACTCCACTTCACAAGTGATCAGCTGATTCACTGGATTTGATGTTACGGATGTTTAGATATTGTGAAACAAGCTGCATTTTTGACCCTTGCTGGAACTTAATGCATTTACTACTCAATACTGTCAGTTTAAATCCTCTTTCGTGCTAAAAGTCGATTTTTCACGCAATCTGAATTTTCCAAATAATTTAGTTGACTTTTTCACTTCTTTGTCAATTGAACATGTCTGGTGTAAATTTTTTCCCGTAAGTTAAAGTCCAGACCACCTATCGTGTAATTTCGTTTGTGGTGATGTCATCTGAAAGTTTGGCTGGCGGTTGCGATTATTGGTTGATTGCAAATTACATACGATTATTAAATTGCAAGCGATTCACTGCTGCGATATAGAAAATGTGTAAATTGCGTATATTTATTATTCTTTCATTTAATATATTGCTTCATCATCTATTATGCAAGAGGTGGAACATGATTCTAGCACCTGCCTAATGCGGTATCCCAATGTTCATGGGGCAGAGGAAGCAGTGGCGCAGTTGGCTATTATGTTGCTTCGTAAGTAAAAGTACCTTGCTGAAATCTAACGCGCGGGGCAAGTTATCTCTTGTCAACCGCTAATTCCCTTGAGCAAGGAATTCTCCCACTTCAGTGCAACGATCCGAAAAACTGATATAAGGTCGTTGACTTGCGAATAATAGGGAGAATGTGGTGCTTTGGCGTGGTCATGCAGAAGCGTAGGAGACGTAGGGCTATGCTGTCGGGCATGTGCCTCTTCTGGCAGCAATTTGTCTGAACTCACCCGATAACTAACTGAAAATTAACACGAGGTGTAAATGTAAATTTTAAAAAATTTTATATTTTCAGTCAGTTCCCGTGACCGCTTATTCTTTCGGGTCACGGAGGCAGAAACGTCAGACAATGCGTCCGAAGTTCCCGATCTTATGCCAGCGTTTGAACTTCGGCAGAAGATGACTTGAGTCTGGAGCAGAGATCTTCGATTCACTTACCCCCGATCAACAGAAGACCGTCCGCGAGTCTTCGGTTGATCGGCAGGTTTGCCTTCCTTTCTGTAAGCATTTGCAAGACGTGTCCAAGCCATCGCAGCTTAATTTTTAGGCTTAGACCTTTCAGTAACTTTTATGTTCGTTTTACTCACCGTACACCAGTACAAATTGTAGCGAGGAACGAGTGGTGACGCGAAAATCAGAGAAAATCAGTTTAAGGTCGAAAAACAGCACTAATCAGAAACATCGCCATATGTAACATCTTCAAGCGATAACGTTGTTGACGAAAATCGCAAACGATGTTTTCACCGTAAGCCAGGACACTCAAGGCAGTAATGCGTTTCAGTGCCGTAATGTCACAAATTACCAAATTTGCGGCCAGTCGTTTCGACGCGAGCTCTAAACAGTCTTGAATTGCGCCGATCAAACTATTCGCTAATCTGCTGTCCATCTATGTCTAAAACTAACGAAAATGCTACTAACTTGAAATCACGATCTTAACGTTTCAAGTCATCATGACAGTCTGTTTTCTACAATACCAGCCTTTGGACTTAACGTGAAATTAGTGGCTTAGAAATCCAAGCTAGAAGTTATTTTCAACTGCAAAATGTTATTTCTTCCTTAGGGCGAACGCACTGCAAAACAGTTGCCATCCAAGTGGCGCGAAAGCAAACTTTAAATATAAAAATTCAGAGCGATCTTCCTGCTAAAATAAGATGCTATCTTTTGGTCATATTGTAAAATGTTGCGTTAATATATACAATCAATAAAGGTAAGAATATAGGGACCTTGATAAAACGATGGCAACATCGGTGTCTTCCCCAGAGTGTTCAACAATTGAACTTTGTAGGGTAATTCGCCCAAAAGTAGCCCTGTTATATCGGCATCGTTTAGTTAAAATACAGCAGCTTCTCGATGCTGACAGGCGACAATATAATGAATATATGTGGGCGGTTTATCAAAATCTAGTTATTTTAGAGCCTTCCCCTTCTTTGCTCCCATTCTTCAAATAGTGATG